AAATGCATCTTTTAAAAAATGGAAATAATGTCAGACATGATAGCATACACTTTTAATCCCAGCCATTGAGGGGTAGAGGCAGGTGGATTTCTGGGTTTGAGGCCAGCCTAATCTACAGAGTGAGTCCCAGGCCAGCCAGGACCTGTCTTAAAAGAAAAGAAAATTGGGCATGGCAGTTCACACCCGTAATCCCAGCACTTGGGAGGTAAAGGCAAGAGGATCATGAATTCAAGTTCATCTTCAGCTACACGGCAAGTTCAAGGCCGGCCTGGGCTACATGAGACCCTGTCTTAACAAAAGCAAACAAGAAATCAAAAATAGAAATAAGGGGCTGAAGTATGGCCAGCAAGAGCACTGGCTGCTCTTCCAGAGAACCCAGGTTTGAATCTGAGCACTTGTATGTGGTGACTCACAACCATCTGTAACTCCACTTGCAGAGGAGCCACAACCCTTTAGGTACCACACCCATAATGCATAGACACGCATGCAGTCAAAACACTACTATACATAGAATTTAAAATTTTTACATTATTTTATGAGTATGAATATTTTGCCTCCACGCACATGTATGTACCATGTATGTACCGCATGCTCAAAGAAATCAGAAGGGGATGTTGGCTTCCCTAGGAGCTGGAGTTATAGATAATTATAAGCCACATGTGGGTGCTGAGAATCAAACCCAGGTCCTCTGGAAGAGTGGCAAGTACTTTAAACCACTTGCCCATCTCTTTAGCCCCTAGAAAATAATTTTTTTTTTGTTTTTCGAGACAGGGTTTCTCTGTGGCTTTGGAGGCTGTCCTGGAACTCACTTGGTAGTCCAGGCTGGTCTTGAACTCACAGAGATCCGCCTGCCTCTACCTCCCGAATGCTGGGATTAAAGGCGTGTGCCACCAACGCCCGGCTCCTAGAAAATAATTTTTAAAGAAAGAAATAACCTAAATGTCTCACAGTAAGATTAAAAAACTAAGTTTATCCCCAATTTCACCTATGTCATTATAATTAACATATTCACAGACCAATTATTCAAACATGATAAATATTCATAATGTCTGAAAAACTAAGGTATTAGAAGTCATACATAACACTCCAGTTCCAAACATGGTTATAGAGGTGTATGATTTACACTGCCATATTCCAGACTTATCTATGTATCACAGGATTTTACTTTTACATTTTTCTGTATTCTCCCTAATTTCTATAAAAAATGCTGGCTCCTGTGTAACTGGAAATAATTTACATTGTGTATTCATGTTTAAGAAAGGGTGATGTAGGTCAGTGGCAAAGTGCCTGCTTACCACGCACAAGCCCTGGGCTCCATTTGTAACAGGGATGCAGAGGATGGGGAGCAGAGACTAGGTGTCACTGTGTAGGTGCTAGCCTGGAGAGGGTTTTGTCAGGTCCTAGGAAGGCTATGACCTTCTTGCAGCTGGCAGATGTTTCTGGAGACAATGTCTCCTCTCTGTAGTGGTTGTTATGTGGAAGGCTACAGTGTTGCCTGAGTTTGTAACCTTGTTTCAGATGACATTCTGAGACTCTGGAGGCAAGCTGAGAGCTCTGCCACAGCTCTGCAGAGACTGTACCTGCCGTGGTTCTCAGACATAAAGCAAAAACCTCCTGCATTCTGAGCTCTGTGTTGTACTAGACACTGCAGGTATTTCTACCATTCTGAGGGAGCTGAGGTCTGGAAGCTTGTGCGGTCACACAGCTTTGAGGTTAGGATTTGAACGCAGAGCTAGGTGCTCCTAGAACCCCAGCCTTCTCCATCACTTTAGCTAGTAATTGTCTGCACGGGTCTACGCCGATTGGAGCATGTGATCATGTCTTTTGTCTAGTTTCATTTTTTAATTTATATATACATGTATGTTTATACAAGTGAATTCCACGTGAATGCAGGTTCCCAGGGAGACCAGAAGAGGGTATCAGATCGCCTGGTATTAGAGTTGCAGGCAATCATGAGCTACCTGATATGGGTGCTGGGAATTGAACCCTGGTCCTCTGGAAGAGCAAGCAGCAAGTGCTCTTAACCACCAAGTCTTTCTCCAGACCTGGGTTGGTCCTATGTTTGTTTTAAACTTTTCGTTTAACTCTGGTTAGCCTTGAACCTGAAATCTTCCTGCTTAGCCTCCTGACTGCTGGCATTATAGGCATGCACACCACCCTGTCAAGAGGAAACCTAGTTTGATATGCCCCCCCGTGAGGCCTCAGTTTCCTTGTTTGTCATAGCTGGAGCTTCACAATGTTGTTTTTTTTTTTATTTACTCGGTGTGTGTGTGTGTGTGTGTGTGTGTGTGTGTGTGTGTGTGTGTACGCACATTCAGTGGCACACTATTGGAGGACAGAGGACAACTAACAGCAGTCAGTTCTCTCCCTCCACCGTGTGTCTCCTGGGGATTGAGTTCAAGTTGTTCTGTTTGGTCACAAACTCCTTTACCCACTGAGCTATCTCGTCTGCCCTACTTTGGCTATTTTTATAAATATCTCATAATCATTTTGTCAGGAAGAAAACCTTTGGGGCCAGGGATTTGGCTCAGTGGTTAAGAGTACTGACAACTCTTCCAGGGGACCTGGGTTCAGTTTCTAGAACCATCCAAGCCGCTCACAACTGTCTACAATGCCAGTCCCAGGGGATCTGATGGCCTCTTCTGACCTCATCAGGCACCAGGCACAGATACACATCCAGGAAAAAAACACTCACACATATTAAATAAGTAAATAAACTTTTAAATTAAAATTTTACTTAAAAATAAAATTTAATTTTTAAAAGAGAAAGGAACTGTTAGGGGTGAGATGGTTTAGGAGGTAAAGGTGTTTGCCTCTGAGGCTGATGACCTCAGTTTGACCCCAAGGACTCAGGGTAGAAAGAACTGACTCCCCAGAGTTGTCCTCTATTCTGCACACATGCACTGTGGCACACACACACTCACGCACACACACACACATCACACACACACTCATGCACACACACACACACAGATACACAGATGCATGTATAAAAATAAAACAAACAGGCTGGTCAGATGACTCAACAGATAAGGACACTTGCTGCCAAGGCTGATTGATGACCTGAGTTCAATCCCTAGGAACCACATGGTGGGGGGAAAGCCAGTTGACCTTTGGCCTCCACACAAGTGTTTGACACACACATCCCCACACTTGCTAAGTAAAATGTAAAGTGATTTTGCAAAGCATTTTTAGAGTGTAGCTCACTGGTAAAACACTTGCTTGGCATGCTGGGAGATGTTTAGGAGTTTGGAAATTCAGGATAGATAATAGTAAGTGTGAGAGCAGAGGCCATGACACAGAGGCTTGAAATTTGGAATTTATTTGGAAATAAAACATGCAAGAAGTTTTGTGCAATAACCAGGCTGTGTTAGTCAGGGGTCAAAGGTCACAGGCATGAGGAAAGTGATATATGAAATTCTGATTAAAGCCACAGCCCAGAGTTGCCTGTTCCTCCTTCCCAGCTCAGTCGTGGGCCCTTCCCATCTCTCTGCCTCAGTTTCCCCCCCTTGCTGTTGAAGCAGTGGGGAAAACCTTGGGCAGGTGCATGAGTGCTTTCTCACCATTATCCAACTGGCTGTCTTTAACTGTGTACAGGAAACAAACTCAGTCTTCAAACTTCTCAAATTTTGGATCTCTGCAAATGAGCCTGTATAGTTTGAAACGGGTTGCTTTGTTACATTGGGTGACCTTCTATTTCTTCCTGTTTCTTTGAGAGGATGTCATGTACCCTAGGCTGACCTCAAGCTCTCTATGAAACCAAAGTTCACCTTGAACTTCTGGACCTCCTGTCTCTACTGCCTCATTACTGGGATTACAGCAAACGTCACCATGTCTGGCTTTAAATTGGTGGCTTAAAATGTTTATTTTGTTTTCATCTGTGTGTGTGTTCGGGTGGCGGTAGGAGGGCAGGTAGGCATAAGCATATGGGTGCCCAGAGAGGCCAGAAGAGGACATCAGGTCCCTTGGAATAAAATGGGTGCTAGAAATGGAACCCAGGTTCTCTGGGAAAGCAGTCAGTGCTCTCAACCAGTTAGCCGTCTCTCCAGGCCCCCCGGGTGGCTTTTTAAAAGGATTGTGGGAGCCAATGAGAAAGCAGAGTATGTGAAGATGCTGCTGGCAAGGCTGAAGTTCCCAGAACCCAAGCACTGGAGGGAGAGAACCAATTCCACAAGCTGCTCCCTGCTCCATGAACCATGGCTGGTGCACACCCACACACACCACCCACACACACATGCTACCCCCAAACACAAATAAGTAAGTAAATAAATAAAAGTCCGTTTAATTACTTTTTGTGTGTGGGAAGGAGTACATGCATGCCACAGTGACCATGTGGAGATCAGACCACAGCCTGAAAGAGCTGGCCCTCTCCTTCCTGGATTCCCAGCATCCTTAACTGTAAGATTTATTTGAATGAAGGACACCAGTGCCTGGAGGTGGGGGAAAGGAGCTGCTCCCAGGGTACACAGGCTCTCCTGGGACAGCTGTGATAGATCACTGAGCCTTGTCCCCAGAGAGCAGTGGGACTGCCACACACCTCAGGTGTGGGACACTGAGTCTGGCTGCAAGTGGCCAGCCGGGAAAAGGGGGACTGCTGCTGGTCTCTGTGGGACAGATCAGGGACCTGACAACATAAGCCAGAAATGAACTGTAGCCTTTAGAATTTGGAGCGTGGAGGGGGGGGGGCAATGCTCCACGTAGACCAGCAGAGGCCTGTCCTGCCCCATGGAGCATGAACAATAAAAGACTCTCACGACCCTTTCTATCTAGACAGTCCTCTGGTAACTTATCTGAGCCTAAGGATGACAGGATCTCCAGGGCCTGCTATGTCTCAGAGGGTTTCTCTCCTGCCTCCCCACCTCTCCCATCATTCATAGAGGAGGGAGGTGGGGTGCTGATCTCGAAGCTCCAAATAGCCCCAGGCTGTATGCAGTGGGCAGTTGAGAGACTGTGTGCATTAGCCCATCCCAACTCACTCCTGACCCCACCCTTCCCTCTAGGTGGAAGAGACACAGACAGAACTCCTGGAGACACTGCGCGAAGAGGGAAGGATCCTGGAAGGAAGGCATGAGGAGGCTGGTCCAGGTGAGGACTGAGAGGGCACCGGAGACTCCTCAGGGGCCTCAGAGGGGTGATGGGATTTTCCTGGGGTGTGCCTTTAACACTCCGTCACCAAGCTCTGCTTTCCTTTATTTGAGCATCCTCCCCACCACACCCATTTTTCTTTCATTTTAAAAGCATCGGCAGGAAGTCTACGCACTTTAGGTGGGCGTAGCAGCACACGCCTATAATCCCAGCAGTTGGGAGATGGAGGCAACAGGAGGATCAGGAATTCAAGGTAAACCTCTGCTACACACAAAGTGGAGGCCAACTTGGGCTACTCCAAACCGTGTGTCAAAATGGGAGGTGTCCTGAGTCTGGAAAAACTAGACCGGTGAAATCACTCATTTTATAATTCCATCCCTACAATGATGGCTCGAATGGGGCTAGCAGATGGCTCCATGGATAAAAATGCATGTGGCACAAGTGTAAGGACCTGAGTTCGAATCCCCAGACCTCGTGTAAAGATGGACCACAATGTGCACCTATGATCCCTGCTCTCATATGGTGAGATTGGAGGTATAGGCAGAAGAATCCCCAGGATCTCACAGTCCAACTAACCTAACATCTACAGCAGCAAACGAGATCAGCATCTGAGGCTACCCTCTGACCCCTGCTTGCATCTGTGCTTAACACATACCATATACACACAGAGATATAAAAGAAATTACAGCTAGGATAGTCAGACTTGGCCCATGGTTTACAATCCCATCAAACACAAGGCTAAAGGTAAGAGGACCACTATATATTTAAGGCCAGTCTGGACAACATAGTGAGTTAAAAGCCAACTGAGATACACAGCAAAAACCTGTCTCAAAAAATGGAGCAAAGGCTGGAGGTATGGCTCAGCAGTTGAGAGGATGCACTGCTCTTCCAGAGGACCTGAGTCCTCTGGTTCCCAGCAACCATACCTAGAAGCTTACAACCACTGAACTCCAGTCCTGAAGGAACAAATCCTCTCTTCCAACTTCCACAGGTACTACGGTCATGTATACCACAGACAGGCACACACACACACACACACAATAATTTTTTAATTAAATCCATTTTTGTCACATTCTTAGTTTTTAAATACTTTAGAATTGAAATGACTAAGTTCATGTATATTTTTTCAGATTAGCAAATCATACCTACAGCATTGGTATGTGTGACACTGGTGACATTTAGTGCATTCACCATGCATGCAATCATTACTACCACTCAGTTCCAGAACATTCTCCTCACCCCAAAAAGGAACACCCAGGAGTAGTCACTCTGAATCTTCCCACCAGCTTCTGTCAACTTGCTAACCTGCTCCCTGATTTCATGGTATCAGGTAGCCTGGCTTACATCACCCAGCAAGATGCTTCCATATTACAACATACATCCGGACTCCATTTCTTTTTCATGGCTGAGTAATACTCCACTGAATAGACATACCATACTTTATTTACTTATTCATTATGGATATCCAGCTGTCTCTGCCTCCAGCCACTGTGAATGGTACCACTAGCCCAAGAACTTACTTGGACTGGTGTTTTCATTTCACCTCACTTTAAATGTAAGTAAAACTTAATCTTTTGAGAAATTCCCAAACTCTTTCTAGAGCAGTGGTTGTACTTCATGCTCTTCCCAGCAAGGTCTAAGGGTCCCAGTGGCTCCCAGCCTTGTCAATGTATGTTGCTGTCATCACTGTGGTGAGCATGAGGTGGCATCTCGTTGAGAGTTTTTGTTTTGGAGTTTTGTTTGTTTTATTGCTGTTGTTTGAGACATAAGCTCACTGTGTAACCCTGGATGACCTGGAACATACTAGTAGCCAAGCCTGGCCTCCAACTTGCAGTGATCCTCCTGCCTCAGCCTCCTGGGTATTGGAATTAAAGGCATATGCCACCACACCCAGCCAATTTGTTTGCTTTTGAGACTGGATGTTACTAAGTCAACTGGCCTGAGCTCAACCTCCTAAGTACTGAGGTCACAGGGATGATGACACCATAGAGATATGACACCATGCCTAGTTTATTGGACTTTTGATATTTATTTAACTACCAACTGGTTGGCATCTTTTTGTGTACTGTGGGCATTTGTATAGCTACTTTGGGAAAGGTATATGTGTTTTAACAACACTGAAACTGACTTTGAAAATGAACATACAGACTCCTGACCCTTCTCCAGAATTACTTCTTTTTTGTTTTGTTCCATTAACAGAGTCTCACTACCTAGCTCTGGCTGTCCTGAAACTCACTTTGTAGACCAGGCTGGCCTTGCACTCACAGAAATTTGCCTGTCACTGCCTCCTGAGTGCTGGGATTAAAGATGTGCACCACCACACCTGGATCCAGAATTACTTCTTTTATAAGCATTGTGATCATGCGGAATTCATGTGTAAAGTTTGTATCGTGTGGTGTGTGTGTGTGTGTGTGTGTGTGTAGTGCCTCCAAAGCCAGAAGGGGGCGTCAGATTCCCTGCAGTTGGAGTTACAGGTAATCATGAGCTGTGCTTGTGGGTGCTGGGCCCTGAACTCTGGTCCTCTGTAAGAGCAGCATGCCCTTGTGATCCTGAGCCTCTCTCCAGCTTTTGTTCTTTGCATTTAACACTGTATCAAACATATTACCAAGTAAAGCTACAGAAAGGAAGGCTTGTCCAGGCCAGGCTTCTGGGCTCATGCCTGTAATCCAACATTCAGGAAGTTGATGAAATTTGAGGCCAGCCTGTACTACAAAGTGATACCCTGTCTCATAAAAAATGAAGCAAGTCCATATCATAACACACAAGGGTTTGCTTGCTTCTTCAGAGTCTAGACAGCTAGATTTGATTCCTTAAAGTGATCCTTTAAATGAAAATTTGCTTCTCCATTGGCATTCAATCCTCCTTCCATTCCAAGTAACATAGTAACTACGACAGAGGTCTGAGCAAGTTCCAAACTCTTGAAACATTGACATTGGCTCAGAATGTTTGGCAATAGAATTAGAACTCCAGCCGGGTGTGGTGGCACAAACCTTTAATCCCAGTACTCGGGAGGCAGAGGCAGGCAAATCTCTGTGAGTTCGAGACCAGCCTGGTCTACAAGAACTAGTTCCAGGACAGCCTGCAAAGCCACAGAGAAACCCTGTCTCGAAAAACAAAACAAAACAAAAAAAAAAAAAAAAAGAATTAGAACCCCTTGACATTAAACACACCCCCTCACAAGCCTGACCTGTTGCTCAGCATCTATCCACTCTGCCAGTTTCTGTCTAAAATCCACCTTCTACAAGGCTGCTACATGGGAAAAACCTCAACCTGCGGACATTGTTTTAAAATTTTTAGTAAAATAAATATATAGATGGGAAGTAACCCACTATGGAGCCTGGTGAGAATGCCTGTGGGGGATCTTCCCAGTAGTCAGAATTCTATTTTTTTATAAAGTATATTGCATTTATTTGTGTGGTGTGTGTGTGTACATGTGCATGCATGTTGTTTGGGGGTGGGTGCACGCATAGCGCAACATTCATGGAGGAGGATCAGAGGACAACCTTGGTGAGTTAGTTCTCTCCTTCTGCTTGGGTCTTGGGGACCAAACCCAGATCATCACAATGAGACCCTAACTCAAGCAAACAAAGATGTATTTGGTATTTTTGTTGCTGATGATGGTGGCTGTCATTGTTTGGGCTACACAAGGTTTCACTGCATAGTCCTAGCTGACCTGGATCATACTATGTAAACTAGGCTGTCCTGGAACTCACTGAGAACCATCTACCTCAGCCTCCTAAACGCTGTGATTAAAGGCATGTGCTGCCATACCTGGTTTTATTTGGATTTTTTGTATCAAGATCTCACTATATAACCTAGGTTGACTTTGAACTTCTGGTAATTCCCCTCTCAGTCAACCAACTACTGGTTGAACCACCATATCTGGCTGTGGGCTCTTTCCCCTGTGGCCCTGCTCTCTGTAACCCTGGCCTTTTGGCTGGTGTTAACTCCCTTCCCCATCACCCCTGTTGCACTTCTCTGCCTGGTCATTGATTGGCCTCTTTTGAGTCATCAATTAGACAGGCATTTTCCCAAGAGGCTTTCTGGGAAGGTGGAGTCCTAACTCTAACCAGACTCATGGTGGGATGGGTGGTGCTCCACCACTCTGCCCTGCCCATCTGGGAAGACCTGACAGGGTTCTTTCCCCGGACCCTGCCCGTAGAGACAACCTGGCCCCTCTTCACAGCTGAAGCAATAGACTTTGAGCCACATGCTGTCATGTCCCGAAGTCTCTCAGTTTTGAAGAAGGGGAGGCAGGACTGTGGGGATTCCTGCCACAGATGCCCTGTCCTTTTTGATATTTCATGATGCAGCTTCAGCTGTATGCCTTTCCACTGGCCTGCTGCAGCAGGACATCATCATGCCTGCTGCAGGATCCAGGACACTGTCGTTTCTGCTGCAGGATCCCTGCTGCAGGGTCCTTGCGACTGACCTTTAGGGACATGTGAGTGCCCACTGCTCTGGTAGAGCTCACTTTCTCAGGATAGGACATTTCTGTTCCCCAGGATTTGTTAAGCCCCTCGAATGTCTGACTCTGGTCCTGCTTTCCTCTTGTGACTGTGATAAAACATTGACCAGGAGCAGCTTGGAGAGGAAAGAGTTTATTTGGCTTATCCTTCCAGGTCATACTCCATCATTGAGGGAAGTTAGGACAGGAACTTAGAGAAGGGATCCACAGAAGAATGCTTATTGCTAGCCTGCTTTCTGACTCTCATTTGCCCACGTTTAACTAGTTTCTTGCAATAGCCCAGGCCTCCTGTCAGACCACACTGGACTGAACCCTCCCATATCAATTAGCAGTCAAGGCAATGGTCCACAGATATACCCATCTGATCTAAGCAGTTTCTCAGCTGAGGGCCCCTTTTTATTTTCTTTTCCTTTTTGGTTTTTCAAGACAGGGATTCCATGTGCAGCCCTTAGCTTTCCTGGAACTGTCTCTGTAGACCAGGTTGAACACAAAGATCCTCCTGCCTACCTCCCAAGTTCTGGGATTAAAGGCATATACCACCACATCTGGAAGGGTCCTCCTCCTCCTCTTCTTCTTCTTCTTCTTCTTCTTCTTCTTCTTCTTCTTCTTCTTCTTCTTCTTCTTCTTCTTCTTCTTCTTCTTCTTCTTCGTTTTGAGATAGGGTTTCTCTGTAGGTTTGGAAACTGTCCTGGAACTCTCTTTGAAGACCAGGCTAGCCTCGAACTCACAGAGATCCACCTGCCTCTGCCTCCCATATGCCACCACCTGACACCATATTCTTTTTATAAGTTATTTTTATTTTATATGAATTGGTGTTTTTCCTCCTGTATGAGGGTATTGGATCCCCTGGAACTGGAGTCACAGACAGTTGGGAGCTTCCATAGGGGTGCTGGGAATTGAACCCTGGACCTCTAGATCAGCAGTCAGTGTTCTTAACCTCTGAGCCATTTCTACAGTCCCTTTCTCTCTTTCTTTATTTCTTTCATTCCTTCTTTCTTTCTTTTTGTTTTTTGTTTTGTTTTATTGAGACAGGGTTTCTCTGTGTAGCTTTGGAGCCTGTCCTGGAACTCGCTTTGTAGAGCAGACTGGCCTTGAACTCACATAGATTGCCTGCCTCTGCCTCCCAAGTGCTGAGATTAAAGGTGTGTGCCACCACCACCACATAGGCTCCTCTCTTCTTAAGTGACTCTAGATTGTATCCAGTTGACAATATACTTTAACCAGCACAGCTCCTGAGCCAGCCTGGGAAAGAGAAAGATGAAGAAGTTCATTCACTGCTCAGCTCCTGGGCTCGGTGGGCTCTGGGGTGATCATGAGAACCTTCTAAACCTCAGGAGATCGACAGAGGTTTTGTGGAAAGTGTTTGAGTTTATAGGCATCTCCTTTCTTCACAGCCCTACAGACATCGTGTGCACGGGAGAAAGACACTTCTAGTGTCTCCATCCAAGAGGCCAAAGCCCCATTGCAGGTGAGAAAGGCCTGGCCATATGGGTATGGGTAGTGGAGAAACAGCAAGGAAGCCACACGGAGGCCCAAAGCAGCCAAAGATGATGCTGGTAGGTTAAGGGGAACTGAGGAGCTTATTTTCTGTACATCCTGGCCCTTTGATGTGGTGACCAGATAGTTGATTAAGAAGATTTGGCATAGCCGGGCATTGGTGGCGCACGTCTTTAATCCCAGCACTCGGGAGGCAGAGGCAGGCGGATCTCTGTGAGTTCGAGGCCAGCCTGGTCTACAGAGTGAGTTCCAGGACAGCCTCCAAAACAATACAGAGAAACCCTGTCTCGAAAAAAAAAAAAAAAAAAGAAGAAGATTTGGCATACTATCAGGGTTGGCTTCCTTTCCTATGGTGTTATCTGCTTTGTGGTTTTTTGGGGGGGGGAATTAATTTATTATTATGTTACTTTATGTGTATGATTTTGCATGTATCAATGCCTATGTACCACTTGTATGTCCAAAGCCCTCGGGGGCCAGAAGAGGTTGCTGAATACCCTGGAAAGAGCTACAGACAGTTGTGAGCCATCACATGAGTGCTGGAACTGAACTCTAAAAAAGAAGGTAGCACTCTTAACCATTGAGCCATATCTCCAACACATTAGCTTTATTGATTGTTAACTTGATACAACCTAGCACAGCTGGGGAATACAGTTTCAATGAGGAATTGTTTGCATTGGGTTGGCCTGGGAGGTATTGCCTCAATTAAGCTAACAGATGTGGGAAGACCCAGCCTAATGTGTGCATCACCCAACACCCAGGGAATAAAGAGGGTCCTCAACCATGTAAAGGTGGAGAGACCAAGCTAGCACAATCTAGAAAGCACATGAGCATGTATACATTAATTTCTCTGTTTTTTAAATACTGTGAACATGATATGACTAGATGTTTAAAGTTCCTGCCTTGACTTCCCCACAATGATGGATAGTAACCTGGAATTTTAAGTAGAAATGAATCCTCTTTGCCCCTACCTTGTTTTGTGATAGGATGCTTTATCACATAGCAACAGAAATGAAAGTAGAGCATTTCCCAAGGACCATCAGGAGGATCTTGGAAATGGCAGGGACTGTAGAATGTGACTAGCAAAGAGGCCCAGGGACTATGGTGGCATGAAAACAGATGTTCAGAGAGACTTCCAGAGGGAAGAGGTTTAATCCTGGATGATTCTTAGGATCCTTCAGTGAAGGGAAGCCCTGGGCAGCATCAAGCAACTTGCTCAAAAGCATGAAGGAAGGGAGAAAACAGGGTGGCCAAGGAAGTTCAGGATGCCAGAGCTGTAGAAAGGCCAGGAGGAGGCAAGGGCCATAGCGTGGGACTGAGCCTGGGAGCATAGGAAGATGATGGACTCCGCCACAAAGGCAATGGCTGAGGAGATGTCTGCAGGGGAAAGGTACAGAGAACGCGCCCTGAGGTTGGGGGTCTGGTGTGATGTTGAGTCCCTGCGTAGGCAGAAGTGGAGGATGGAAACCAGGTAGAGCCCAGCTTGGCTGAGCTTTGAATGTAGGTTGGCATTGGTCTGAAATAACCAGGACATCATCCCAAGAGTTATAGGATCAGTATTAGTTAACTTTCCTCATGACTGCGATCAAATACCTGACAAGAAGCAACTTAGGGAAGGAAGAGTTTGTGTTGGCTCGTGGTTTGAGTCATCCCATCCTGGTGGGAAGGCGTGGCAGCGGGAGCTGAGGCAGATGGTCACGTTGCACCCGTGGTCAGGAAGCCCAGAAGCAATGAGCACTGGTGCTCAGCCTGCTCTGTCCTTTCTATTCAGTCCAGGACCCCAGCCTATGGCACAGCACCACCCAGATTCCAAGCGGCTCTTCTCTCCTCAGTGAGCCTGATCTAGAAACACTCTCACAGGCATGCCCAGAGGTTGTCTCCTGGGTGGTTCCAGATCCCGTCACAGTCTCAATAGATATTAACCATCACAAGAGCCATTAAAGGCTATACAATGAGAGGTGGAGCTGGAATGTTTCAAGCCCTGGTAGAGGTGGGTTCAGCCTGCTCTCCTGGATGGTGTTTGGTGCAGGCCAGAAGCACACCAAAGAACCTCAGTCCTTCCCTTTTAACTGACATAGAGAGGATCATCTTGACAAGCCACACTGTTTGCTGTCTTCTTCCTGCTCCCTTCTCCAGAACTCCTATGCAATGCCAGCCTCATCACAGGAGGCCATCCAGGCCCAGATGAATGCGGTGGAAGGGTCCATCCTTAGCCGACTCTATAAGAAACACATGCAGGTGGGTGCAGAACACTGGCAGGCCTTTATCCTTGGCACTGTGGGAAGGTCATGGGTAGGCAGCCATAGAGGGCAAGCCTCAAACCTGACACATCCTCCTTCACAAGAGCCCCACAGAAAGAAGGTCCTCAAATCACACCAAGAGGGTCAGATGGTGGAGCATACAGTTATGTGGCTCCAGAGGGAACTTGGGGGCAACTAGCAAACCTGACACAAGATAGCACATCGGCCTACTGAACTACAGCTGTGTGTGCCCATCAGACACATGCCTCCAAGAGTGCCCCTGGAAGGAGATAAGAGAAATGCAACCTTGACTGTGGCAGGGACATCACAACCAATGCAGTGAGCTGTTGATAGGATAGGGAGGGGGGCAGCGGAGACCCATGTCCCTTGCTACCTGCTGGTTGATGGGGTCCTTCTGTGTCCTTCTCTAGGATTATGGGAGCCCTGGCCTGTTCTGGGAGCAAGAGCTGGAGAGTTTGCACCATGTTATTGAAATGAAGAATGAGCGAATTCACGAGCTGGAGAAGCAGCTCCTCCTCCTGGAGATGCTGGTCAGTGCTGGGCGGGCAGCAGGCTGACACTTTCTGGGTATTTCCAGTTCTGGCTTATCCCACACCCTGCCCCTCACCCCGCAACCTGCCCCTGACAACTTGTCTCTGTTCTTGCCAGAAGTCTGGTCTGGGTCAGGCAGCAGCTCCTTGTCACCCGACTCCTGTCTTTTCTTGGGTCCTCGGGCTGCTCTAACTAGGGCAGCACTGGGGCCCCATCAGCCCCCTGCTCCTTGGAAGGGGTGGCAGCTGTCGCACTACAGGCAGGGGCTGAGGGTGGAGATGAGGCCAGGCGGGCAGAGGAGGCTAGCTAGCCTCAACAGAGGTGGATCTGGAGAACGGAGGTCCTTTGAGGAACCAGAATTGAGGCCTTAGAGCCTGGGGCAATGTCACCCTTAGGTTCTGTCAATTCGTAGTATTGATTTGTTTGGGATTTTATTAGATTGTGTACATCTGGGTGGGTGGGCGTATGCCATGGCATGCATTTGGAAGAGGTCAGATGACAACTTGCAGGAGTGAGTTCTCTCCTTTCACCATGTGGGTTGCTGGGTTGAACTCAGGTTGTACAGCTTGGCAGAAAACACCCTTTACACCCTGAGCCATTTTTTAAAAAAGATTTATTTATATAGTTATTTATTTTATTTGTGTAGAGTGTTCTGCCTGCATGTCTGCCTGCAGGTCTCATTAGAGATGGTTGTGAGCCACCATGTGATTGCTGAAGATTGAACTCAAAAACCTCTGGAAGAGCAGCCAATGCTTTTACCCACTGAACCATTTCTCCAGCCCCCAACCTTTTTTCTTCTTAAGATTTATTTTTATGTATGTGAGTGTTTTGCCCACACGTATGTATGTGCACCGTGTGTATGCAGTGCCCACAGGGGTCAGAAGAGTATGTTGGATTCCCTGGAAGAGTTACAGACAATTATGAGAAGCCATGTGTGTACTGGGAATCCAACCTGGATCCTTGGCATGAGCAACCAGTGCTCTTAACCACTGAGTCATCGTACCAGCACTGTTTTAGTTTTTAACACTCTCCAATAGCGAAGATCAAGTCGACAGTCCACCTCTACTCTGACCTTGTTTCCAGTTAGTGTCTTGCTCCAAACAGTGAAATGCTAGTCTAGAAAGAAGCCGTGTCCAGGAGAGGGGTGATGGCGCCCGCTGTGCTAAGTGAGACAGCCTTCCGAGCTCCTTCTCGGTTTGTTACAGAAAGAAAAGAACCTGATATTAGCCCTGAAAAACACCACCCTGCGGCAGGAGGTTGAGGACCTACAGTTCCAAGCTGGGAACAGATTGACCATATCAAGGTAACCACCCCCTTTCTCCCACCCCTAACCTTCTGCCAGAATCTCCAACTGGGAGAGACCCGGAAGAGCCTAGGGACTGGATTGATAAGTGAGCCCAGGACCTATCTTGGGAACATGACTCCTCTTTCCTTGGGAGTCAGGAAGTCCAGGTTCTCAACATGAGAAAGAGGAAACAGGAAACAGGACACAATCCACCTGAGCAGGCATGTGTGCATCAAATAGGTCCTGAGGTTTGTAAGTGAGTGATAATGTCCCCTGTCATAGGCAGTTGAATACTTGACATATTTCCTGGTGGGAATCCTCCTCCGGATCCTAAGAGCTAGATCCTGTTATCCCCATTCAATGATGAAGAAATTGAAACTCTGTGTCACCTAAGGTGACCCAGCTAGGTGTAAGGCTTGGCCTGGAGCCACCCAGAGCTATACCTGTGAGGATTTGGCACTTGTCAACAAATAGAATCTCCCCTCACATACAGGCAGGCGGAGTGGGGGGAGGTGGTTGTGGGAACACCTTGGAGAGAGCTGGTGACCCCTGCCTCAGGAATGATTCCTGGGGTAATCAGTTGGTTCAAGCTCCCTCAGGCAACCCCTGCTCTGTCTGTACCACAGGCAGTTCCAGAAAGATCTACTTCAAGATCTGGAGAAGGAGTCTCAGAATGGCCACTGCTGTAGCAGACGGAGAAGCCACTGAACTATCTGAGTCCGGGGGGGCCTGTTCCTCCTCCTCCATCTTACCCTGCCCTCTGCTGCACCTCAGAGGCCTCTGTCCTCATGGTATAGACACAGGGCCTAGACCCACCATGGCTCCCAGACTCACCACTGCCCCCAAAGTCTGTGGAGAAGAGGGCAAGCCTCTGCTCTTCTCCCAGGATGGACCAGGTGGGCAGGAGGAGATACATGTATATAGGCAACAACACTGATGGCAGAGGTTGGGCTGCCAGAATCGCCCAAGAAGTGCCTTCCCTTAGCTGGCCCAGGGAACAAGCAAATAGAGTCGTCGCCGTGCCCCTGCGCCCCCCCCCCACTCACCCACTCCGTCCTCATGAGGGCATTCAAGACTTCTCTCATGGCAGCTGGCCCCATTTTTGATCATCTGACAAAGAGGGGATAGCACCCCCTGCCAGATCATCAGCTTTGCTGACAACTCACCAACCCATCAAGTTCTTATTATCACACCCATTAATTCTTCCTCAGAGAAAAAGTGCAAAAGACACAATCCAAGAAGAAGGAATACAGGACTGTTTCTGCTGAGATGGGGGTCTCACCATGTAGCCTAACCTTGAACTCAAAGCCACCCTGCCCCAGCCTCCTGAGTGCTGGAGACATGGGCGCGTGCCACCACATCCAGCCAGATAAACAGTTGAATTTGCTGTAGTGCTAAGCAGTGTAAATATTTTAAAGCATATTTATCTAAGGTCTTAATGTGAAAATTAAATCTTTTTGTTAAAAATAAAACTATATTTTCATGTTCTTTTCAGTGAGGATCTATTTCATCCTGTGTTTTACTTTGCTGCTGCTGTGGTAAAATTTGCTGACAAGAGCAACTTAAGGGAGGAAGGGCTCGTTTCAACTTAGCGTTGCAGGGGGAGAGAGCTTGTCATGGGGCATCAGCATTGGGGAAGGAGGGTAAGGCTATTAAGCCTGAAGGCCCATTCCCGGCAACATACTTCATCCAACAAGGAAGTGACCTAGAGGTTCCAAAACCTTCCCAAACAGTGACATCAACTGGGGACCATGTGTTCAAAACATGTGAACCTGTGCAGGACATGTCTTATTCAAACCACATTTGTCAGGACATGCGAATCCTTTTACATGCTGTGTTCTTAGAAGGTTTGTCCCACAGTTCAGTGTAGGGAAGTGGGTCACAACCCCTTTGGGGGTCATATATTAGATATCCTGCATATCAGATACTTATAATTCATGACAGTAGCAAAATTACAGCTATTAAGTAACAACGAAAATCATTTTATGGTTAGGTTCACCACAACACGAGAAACTATTAAAGGGTCACAGCATTAGGAAGGTTGAGTACCGATGATGTATCGGATTTGGATCGTTTCACATTCTAAGCTGCCCTAAAACAATTCTAATTGAAATATCTTATGTAGTCATCTTTGAACAGATCATTTTCTTATACTGAATTTGTCAGAAAGGTCACCTCTAGTGGGCTGCAGAAGGGGTCTTGCACACTTTTTAAACAGTTTGTTTTCATTTATGTATATGTATACGTGCCTCCATGTGTGGGTGCCTGCAGAGGCCAGAGCTGGGTGTCAGGTCCCCTGGAGCAGGCGTCAAAAGTGATACGAGTCACTTGACATGGATGCCAGGAATTGAACTCAGGTCCTTCGGAAGAGCAACGAGTGCTCTCACTTGCTAAACCATCTCTCCAGTCTCTTTAGAAAAATAATCCCATGTAATTTGTGTGTGTGTATGTGTGCTGGTGGATGTTTATGCATGCCTGTGGAGACTATTGCTGGGGACAGCAGGCAAAACAGAGAAGTAGCCAGGGAGCCGTGGCAGGGGAGGGCAGAGACCAACCAAAATCTCCAGTCCTGGCTTCTCCAGGACAGCAAGTAAAGTCCCTTCCCAGGGTCCCCCTGCCATGGAGAATGGGGCCAATCAGAACCCTGCTAAGAAAAGAAACAGGGATATGGACCAGAAAGGGGGAACTGAGAGGGAGCACTGAGGTCACAGAAGGGTCACGGGGAGGGGCTAGAACAAAAAACAGTAGTATAGCTGTGGGAGAAAGTGAGACTTAATGCTGGCTATTGCTGCCTCTGCGTAATTTTTCAAATTATTATTTTATGGGATTTTTTTGTCTGCCTGGTGCCCTTGATGGTTGTGAGCCAACATATGGGTGCTGGGAATCAGACTTGGGTCTTGCGGAAGAGCGGCTGGTGCGCTCAACAGCTGAGCCATCTCTCCAACTTCTCTGCATAATTTTTGAGGGAAGAAAATCTAAACCTTTAACTTTGTTGTTTGTTGAGACAGGATCTCATTCAGTCCAAGCTGGCCTCATACTCACTATGTAGCCCAGGGTAGCCTTCCACTTCTGATGCTCCCACACACACACACACTGGCATTACAAGTGTGTGTTACTACTACTACTACACACAGACACAGACAGACACACACATGCACACTCGCATGTGCACACACACACAATTGTGTGCACATGCACTTGAGTAGGCGTACTTGCAGGTAATCATAGAGGCCAGAAGAGGGCACTGGATCTGCAGAAGTTGCAGGTGGTTCCGAGTCTCCCCACATGGCTGCTGGGAGAGAACTCCAGCCCTTATGACAAAGCTGGAAGTGCCGTGAACTGCTGAGCCATCTCTTCAATCCTCCTAACTAATTTTTTTTTTAGACAGAGTTCTACTGTGTAGCCTTGGCTAGCCTGGAACTCACTATGTAGACCAGGCTAGCCTCAAACTCACAGAGATCCTCTACCTCTGCCTCCCAAGTGCTAGGATTAAAGTCATGACTACCCTCAAAGTAATGCTTTTAAATGAAAGAAAATTAGTATTTGGTGTTTCCGTGTCCATATGACGTCTTGAAACACGGCCACATGTGCTGCCGGTGGTTATGTTTGCACTACAGCAGAAGCTTGGCTCATTCAGCCTCAGATCGTGAGTGTCCAGCTTCATGCAGCAAAGGCAGGCAGACACTGACCTTTGAGGTCCCTAAAAGCATTTTCCCTTAAATGACATAGAAAGAACCTTCTCAAAGAGTAAACCACACAGAAAAACCTTAAATTCTAAGGCTGGGATGTAGTGCTTACCTGGCATACACGAAGTCCAGGGTTCAATCCAGCACCACATAAGCCCAGTGATATATCACAAAACGAATCTCAAGCACTAAGGAGGTGGAGGCAGGAGGGTCAGAAGTTCAAGGTCATCCTTGATTACAGAATGAGTTTAAGGCCAGCCTGGGCCACATGAAACGTGAAACGTCATCTCAAACAAAGGGGAGGGAGCATATAACATAGTTCTAAGAGTTCTTTTTCCTTCTTACAGCTTTACACTTTGCGTATTTTAACGGTTTTGGTTTGGGCTTTTTACTTTTAGATTTAGATTTTTGCTTCCCTGCACCTAAGGAGAGCTTGTGCCTGGAGAATCTCTCCAGGGTTCTCTGCAGAGCTTAGCAACTAGCCTGGTGAAGGGCAGCCTCAAGCTAGCTGAACTTGGTCCTCACTGCTTGCTCTGCCCCCTGCTGGCTGACCTTACCTTGTCCAGGCTCAGGTTCCCTATCTGTTTAAGGACAGTTTCTTCAGTGGTTGATCCAAAAGGTTGGAAGATGCATAAGGAGAGCAAGTGTTTTAACTGATGTCTCAGACTCAACAGTCTCGAAGCATGTGCTAAGATTTGTCCAGAACACCCACTCTAGCTGAGTTTGCAGGGGATAAACCTCACATGGATAGTATCCGTGTCTCCCAGATATCCAGCATGTGCGATCTGCTCAAGGTCTGGGGAGTGAGCCTTGATGTCCTTGAGTGTGCTATAGATCCTAAGTCCAGCCGAGGGGCCATTGAAGGCTCTCAGAGCACCTGCTCCTCTCTACCCTACTGTGTGATTACTCTACCCACAGTGTGATTACTCTAGGACCATTTGCCTTTAGTTCTTTTGGGGTGAGCATGTGGCCCTCAAAGCTGGGCGAGGTCTGGATTACTCTTGCTTGACTCCCAGAGCCTTAGAAAGGCACCTGGCACTTTGTGGCCTTATATACATATTGGTGAATGGATGGATGGAGTGGGTGGGCAGATAAGTGAACAGATGGATAGCAAATGGCTAGATTGGGGGTTAGATGGGTGAGTGGAAAGATGGGAAAGTTGATGAATGGATGGATCAATGAATAGATAGGTGGGTATGTAGGTGGATGGATAGAATTGGTGAATGGCTAGATATAAGGTTAGATAAATGAGTTATTTATTTAGTTTGTTTGTTTTTGTTTTTCGAGACAGGGTTTTTCTGTGGCTTTGGAGGCTGTCCTGGAACTCACAGGCCAACCTGGTCTACAGAGCAAGACCCAGGACAGGGTTCAAAGGTATACCACAGAGAAACCCTGTCTTGAAAATTAAAAAAAAAGCCGGGCGTTGGTGGCGCACGCCTTTAATCCCAGAACTCAGGAGGCAGAGGCAGGCGGATCTCTGTGAGTTCGAGGCCAGCCTCGTCTACAAAGTGAGTTCCAGGACAGCCTCCAAAGCCACAGAGAAACCCTGTCTCGAAAAACCAAAAAAAAAAAAAAAAAAAGAAAATGAAAAAAAGAAGACAAAACCAACAGTAATTAATGGATCATGAAGAAAGCAAACATTAATGATAACAGCTAGCTAATTAGGCAAGCTGCATGCAGGGTTAAAAGCATTTTTATTTTATTTTTAATACTTTATTAACTTTATTTTATGTGCATTGGTGTGAGGGTATCAGATCCACTGGAACTAGAGTTACAGACAGTTGTAAGCTGACATGTGGTTGCTGGGAATTGAACCTGGGTCCTCTGGAAGAGCAGTCAGTGCTCTTAACCACTGAGCCATCTCTCCAGCCTACATTTTTATTTTTTGTAATGTACTTTGTGTATTCATTTGTGTGTGTGTGTGTGTGTGTATTTATGTGTGGTGTGTAGGTCAGGTGTCATCTTAAGGAATGCCATCTATTGTAGAATATTATTTTTAAAAGATATGTTACATTTGTTTATGCAGTGGAACATTTGTTTTAATGATGCAAAGATGTGTTGCATTTATCTGACTCTGTGAAACTGTGACTCGTTGCCTGTCTAAAACACCTGATGGTCTAATAAAGAGCTGAACGGCCAGTAGTGAGACAGGAAAAAGGCCAGGCGGGGCTGGCGGTCAGCAAGAATAAATAGAAGAAGAAGCAGGACAGGACAATGAGAGGATGACATCAGTCCCGGATTTCTCCTTCTATTTATTCTCACTGCAGAAGTAAGGAAAGGAAAAAGCCCATGGGCAAAAGGTAGTTGGGATAATTTAAGAAAAGCTGACTGGAAATAAGCCAAGCTAAGGCTGGGAGGTTATAGTGAGTAAGCCTCGGTGTGTGATTTCTTCGGGAGCTGAGTGGCAGGCCCCTTAAAATAAAGAGTAAAGAGTAGATAGCCAACAACAACAGCCATTGAGACAGGTTCTGTCGTTGGCTTGAAGCTCACCGTTAGGTTAGCCTGGCTGGCCATGCAGCCCTAGGGATCCTCCCTCTATGTCTCCTCCGCACTGGAATCATAGGCACATGCCCCTGCATCTGGATTTAATGTAGGTTCTGAGGATTGAGCTGACATCCTCATGCCTGCAAGGGAGATATATTACCCACCAGGCTGTCTCCCAGTATAGAAGAACTTTATCCCACACACAGGATGTTTTAGGGAGATGTGATCTTTCACTATACCCTTGAATGTGTTGTGGTATCTTGGAATCCCAGAAAGGGGATCTCAAAGTCATAGATGTTAGGATAAAATTCGTGGGGATCTTGG